ATGGTTAGTATAGAATGATCATTTGGTTCTGAATGGTATGTGTTGGTGAAAGAATAAAAGTTGGCATTCTTATACCAGGCAATTTCATCACAAATGCCTTTGTTTACGTCTAGTGTATGTCTGGCATTATATGCTTGGTCATCTTTATCAAAGCTCTCGTTCATATGAAATTTTATATAGTGGATGGTTATGTGTGTTGATTAAAGATCGAAAATCAATGGCCCCAAGGTAAACAATTTAAGTAAATACCTTTCTGTAAATTTGGAAATGCAATCCCACAGAATTTTTTTACACATATGAAATAATTTTCCAATAGCTTTTGTCGTGTGTCGAATGAATCTAGCACTCATTTCCTTAGCAAATGAAGCACAACTGCAATATTGGTCCTGATAGTAGGGGACGGCATATATTAGGGAATGGTAATTTATTATATTACCTTCGCCTCTCCGATATCGACGATTTTGGTATCGTTGGATTCCTCTCACTGTCCACATTGCACATATATAGTTTTTATTGTGCGGAAACCCCCCGTTAGTGGACAAACTTGGCCCTGATAGCAGTGGAGGGCATGAAAGGTTCCAGGGAAAATGCGGGGTTGAATAACACTAATAATATAACCCATAGAGAAAATAACCATGGTTATTCACATGACTTTCCATTGCAGGGGGCTGTGCCCCCTGCAACCCCCGCCGAGTAAACAAAACCTCCACCACGTATTCATGGCAGGGTAGAGCATTACACAGTTATCGTCGATCTCGGAGCTGCGGACGTATTACATTTACCTTGTAATATTACCACTGAATCAGCATACTAACCTTGACATAGCATTATATACAGAGACGATTGTAGTTTAATAAGGATGAACAAGGTATGCCATGAACATACGAGCGGCGGTGGCCCGCCCTCGTTGGCTCGGCGGGTTTTGCACCTCTTTCAATGCATCTAGTTCGTGTGCGCTCTATGCTGCTGTGAATACGTGGTGGAGGTTTTGTTTCCTCGGCGAGGGTTGGGGGTGGCAGCCCTGCCCCAGGGGGGAAATTCATGAGAATAACCATGGTTATTTTCACTGTGGGTTATATTTTAGGGTAATTTTCTATATTACGTCCGCCGCTCTGACATCGTCGCCCCTGCTATCGGGCCAAGTTTGCCGCTAACGGGGTGTTTCTGCGCAATTAAACCTACATATTTGGATTGTACAGAGTGAGAGGAATCCAGTGATACCAAAATTGTCTATATCGGAGAGGTGAAGGTAATATAGAAAATACCTAGGGTATAATGGGGGTAATTCTGAGAAATATTGGTAAAACACTAGCAATTATAGTATGCACTAACTCCAGATGGGCCAGGCTGCGGGTCACTGGGATCGTTGGGGTTATCCACGTCATTATTGGCGGGAATTGAGATCGCTATCCACTGTTCCTTATCGGACAGCTGAGGGTACAGCTTCCTGGCCTCAATGAAGAAGTGATGGTGGAGTACTTCCGGCTTGTATTGGTGGAGAAACTGATACCGAGCCAAGTATTGTTTATAGAATTCCTGTCAATTATCTGGTCACTTGCTCCACTCTTTAATGTCTTGCCACAAGCACTCAGTGTTCTGAGTGTGGATCTCCGGGTTTTCGGGATCCACAAAATGTTCCATGTGGTTTATTACTTGATGTTCTTATCTGTGTTCACTAATCATCTGGTATGCATTCCATCCGTCATTTATAATGACTGACTGGGGGAGAATATACTTTTTTATAAGAGATATGAGGGTTTCAGCATCACAGTTCTTGCCCAGGGGCTCAACAAGGGAGACAAGGAAGACCTTCTTGCTGACGCGCTCAATCCAGTGGAACACCCATATCTGGCTCAGCAGCCTTTCCCTCTCATATTTACGCTTGCCAAAGAGTATCTTGTCAAGTTCCACTACAATTCCTAGTCCATCTATGGATTCCTGATTGTCTAGCCAGTGGTCTGTGACCTCGGAGCAGAAGCTTTGCCAGTCCACACTCATGCGCTCGGCAATATGGAGGCGCTCTGTAACTGTCTGATGATCCCAGTGTCTGCTTAGCCAGTGATTGATGAACGGGAGTATTTGATAGGGTTCAAGTCTAGTTCCTGATAAATTCCTATTGAATTGCTTACCATGAGGTTGCACGCACCACAAACCCACTGGTGTCTGTCTTTTCGATAATGACATGGCACTGTACTTCCACTGGAAGAACACCTTGATCTCATATATATTGCAAACTAGCTTCGTTATTGCGATGATATATTGCAAGAAAGTCGAAATAATTGTTCTCACAACCTGCACACTGTGTAGCCATGATTAAACTGATTTGAATTTCAACAGCCTTCTCCTAGGCCCAACTTCTATTGTCACATGATGATCTATTCCATATCTGATGGTTCTATTGAATGTCTATGGTCACGTCATGTTCATGAATGAATCTAATTGTCTCATTTGATTTCCCTCGCATACATCATCCGCTACAAATCCATCAGACTTTTCGTCACTCTTAACGACTTTTTGTCATCTTGTTGCAGCGCTGGAGGCGGAAGGTCACTGCAGCTCCTGGATATCGTGGATTTTATACCCTTTATAATACCGTTATTATCAATTTGCGCAGAATGGTATAGAAGAAAACTTTCATAGATTGATGTGTTCTACCACTTGGTAAGCTCAGAGTCTTAATATTAGCTGTGGGGTTGCATTTCTATAACTCAGGAACAGCATTGATTTTAACCCATCAGCGACGGGTAAAAATTTTGTCAAGTTTACGTATGCACCGGCTTGTTGGCGTACTGGCAGTTTCCCCTGTGTTGCGCCCGGCACGATCGGTAGTTTGCGAGTGACATATAGCACCTAAAAGCTTTTATTTTTTAAAAATTTATAAAAATATTAAAATTTTGAAGGTTTACCTTCACTTTAGGTGCCATTGCCTAAAACCTTTACCATATAAATGAAGCCACTACTAGTGGAGAAAAACAACCTCCGTCTGACAAGCCAGTAGCCGGGAATGGGCATGCATGATGCCCCCGGCGTTTGGTCCACAACAGTCATGGCATGTACGTACGTGACACCCGGCGCCAATGGGTTAATGATTTTTTGTAAAACGTCCATTTGTTGCCAGCAAGACAATATCATGGTGAGAGTGACATTCTTTTCGTTGTTGATGAACTTTTCCTTTACTCTGAGTCTGTTTCTGGTATTTTTTTCATGTTATGTGAAACTCAAATCAAGTACAAGAACAAACTTTGTCAAAGTTGTCCAGTAGCATGCCATCTATTGGGAAAAGTGATTTGAATGATCTTGCATTTTGGAATGATTGTTTAATGGTAAATGATCTGTAGAGATTTTATGGAATGTGTTTGTATATGTGGGTGATAGCCTCTTACTACTCCTGAATTCATATCTACTAAGAAAATATACAGTTGGAAGTTAACCAATATGGATAGATATAAACAATGCTGTTAATCCCAAAATCCCAAACCCAGGATTGCTTACATTCACTTGGTTCAGCTGCAGTTGTATATTTGATATTCTTGCAAGAGTTCTTGCCCAGTCTGGAATCAGGGCCCTTGCCACCAATGATCTGTTGTGGAGAGCTCTTTCGAAATTTTGTATGCTGGCGTATGTATCCCTTTTTTATTGTCACTGGTGTATTTTGATGTATAGGTATTTGGTATTTGAAAAACTTGCTTGGTACATACCAATTTTTTTTTTTTTTTTTCTTTTTTTTTTCTTTTTTTTTGTACATCTTACAGGAATCACCAGTTCTTGTCTCTCTTGGATTTCTTGGAGGCCAATAAATGGGTTAAAGACCTTTACAATTTTTCTGTGTGGCTTTCTGAAATGTAACACTATCCACACTTAATTGCTAATTTTATACTAAGCTCAATTCTTCTTCTTTCTTCTCTTATAGGGTTTTAAACTATATTTTAGTCTATATTCACTGGATATTGGTAGCTGGAGTCTACTATCTGTTGTCTGAAGGATTTTTTATTAATGTTATGTATTCTGTTTCATATGTTGTTGGTGATTTGGGTTATGGTTGTGGAATCCTCCAATTCATGAGATTTTTTGATGCAAGGTCTACAATTTCTTTGCCTAAAATGCTCTTATGTGATGGGATCCATTGTATTGTGACATATGATCTTAAATTGTTAAAGTGTAAATTTGTTTGTGTGTTTCAATTCTGCGGTGTAATTGTAGCAAGATAAAGCTTTGGCTTTTTTATATGACAATAAATAGCTAGGGTGTATTGTAAATCTGCAATGTACAATATATATATCACAATCAATACCTTCTGCTGTGTGGGTTCATAAGATAGGGAAACCTTAGATTATTAGATAGGAAACGTAATACACAAGCAGAATGCGACAACACGTACTATTGACCTTGGCTAGTTTTGTCTGGTTGGTGTCTACAGTCAAAACATTTCCAGTCTTTTTCCACCAAAAAATGAAGGTTGAAGCAGCTGCTACAAGCACTATATTTCTGTATTCATTATCATCTTGACTTTAAATTGCAGTGTAAAATAGAATTGGTAATGATGATAATGAAAATTATAATGACATTGATATTGGTACTGATATTGATATTGATAATGATCATGGGAGTAATTGTTATTATTATTATTGTTGTTGTTGTATTATTATTAATATTATTATATTATTATTATTATTATTATTATTATTAATATTAATAATGATATTAATATTAATAATGGGTTGGCTTGGCTTGGCTTGGCTTGGCTTAGGTTCGGTTAGGTTCGGTTCGGTTCGGTTCGGTTCGGTTCGGTTCCTTTTGGTTCTGTTAGGTTAGGATAGGATAGGATCAAGAACCGGATCTGTGCCTCCAAGAAAAAATATCATCAAGTAGAAACAGATCCGTTTCTATAACCCTTGTCTTTTCAAAAATAGATTATGGCCAGCCTGGGTGTAACTATTTACAGAACTCCAATTATTTCCAATTTGGTCAGTAAGATGTCTAAGTAATTCTGTATTTTACAGATCTGTATGATTGGGCTTGCAAAGATAATGATTCCCGTGGCACAGTAGTCAACAGGACAATGGTCAAAGTGAAGAATCAGTCATCTCCTCGTTTGTCAAGATCACCAAGCAGAAAATCATCCCTTAGGTCAGAGTTCAATAACATTGAAATTAGCTATCCCCCCCCTAAAAAAAGAAAAAAAAGATCAAGACATCTGGATGATATTTGTCTGAATTAGTAGCAAGTATTATAACTCAGGAAAATGAAAAAATATAATGGTGATTTTATAAAGATATTAATGTATTATGAATTACATGTGCACAATCACATATGCCCACACACATGCAAATAATCATGATATTTTGATATAAAGATAATGATTTTTTATAAACAGAGCTGGAAGCCTAGTTAAAGTAAATGAACAAGATGTGGCTCTTTTCCGTTATGGAGATGTTGTTTATGCCATCTCTGAACACTGCCCGCATGCAGGTAAGCTAACAGGTTATTAAGAAAATTTCCTTATATTTATTTATTTATTTTTTCATGTTTTGAAGTTATCTGTTGTGTTTGTGAAAAAGTAATCGCATTACAAATTGCCATATCTACGTTCAAGTGCATGCATTTCCTGTAGGAAATGCATTCACATTTTCTGTAGGAAATGCATTCACATTTTCCTGCAAATGTAAGTAATAAAATTCTGGAGTAATACAGG